ATATATATATATATATATATATATATATAAAAAAAATTTTTATATAAAAATACACACACAAAAAAACCCATTATTAATAATAAAATAACAATTATACTTTATATTCTATTTATTAACCCTGTTTCCCTCAAGAATACAATTAAAGAATTATAATTCCCTGTTTGCTTTGCATCTAGTATCTCCTGTGGTGTCCTTCTGAATATTTCTCTTTCTATAATATATTTTTGGCAGTGACATAGAACATGTTCTACTGATTCCTCCTCCTGACAATACTCACACAGACCTGTGGGATGTAGTTCTGTTCTATGCAGGACAGTCTATTTCATCCCATGTTGTGAAATGTATTTAATCATTTGGGACAGTGCACATTAATAAACATTACTGTAAGTGCACCAGAGGTAATAGCTAAAGGGCTTTTTTTTGTATCTGTAGTCCAAAAAAAAAAAAAACTGAAATGGGAAAAATGGATAAAATTGTTGCCTACGATAAAGAACGCACACATGCACATACAGGCATTCAGAAGTCATTAAACCACACAATAATTAGGTACAGTTTGATTTTTAAATGTATAAAATGTAGGCATGCTTTCAAAGGCACTACATCTTTCCAAATATCAATAAAAACAATTAATGAGCACAACTGCACAATGGAGATTGATTCACATATATTCATGGAGTCAAAAATAGGCTACACAAGCAAAAAATAAATCTGAACCTAATTTAGTATCGGTGCTTAAATAAGTGAACATTTGCAACTGATGTCTGCTGTTGATAATGTAAAAATAAATACTAGTTAATATGATTTTAATTAATTAATTACTGATTTTCTATTTCAATACAACTTAAAATAATTATGTATTCTTGCTCAAATTTAAGCATGTATACACAAACTTACACATACAGTACTGTATAAACAAGTAAGACATTAAAATCTGTTTTCTGCTGTGAAACAGAAAATCTCACACGTCTTTACAGAAGCAGCTCACATTACTATATAATATTATGTTAAATAGCCTAGTACAAAACACAGACATTTATGAGTTATTAATAAATAATGTTTTCATGATTCAACAAACTTGAAAAAGCATCTAGTGGCAAGTGATATAGTTGGCTACATCTTCAACTAGGAAGCACTGGTCAAGTCGTGTAATCTGATCATATTTTACCATATTTTGACCATAATTTTGACCATCTTATGACACTGAACATTTTCAGTGCTTGCTTTTAGCTTTAATGATAAAATCTTATGTCTCACATTGATTGACATTGTATTCATCATTAGTGGTAGCTGTTTAAAAATATTGAATATTTATTATTTTTATTACAATAATTATATTAATATATATTATTATTTTTCAGAAGTATCTTATTACTCAGATTGCTTAACTACTGATAATTACTGATTTCTTATTACTTATATACTGCTAAAACGCTGTTGGTGTTTGAATCAATTAAAAAATACTGCAAAAAAATAGTCATGACTCTTGCTATGCTTTAAGTATTCCTTCAAAATTATTTTTCTACACTTTCTTTACCTTGCTATCAGTGTTCAGCATATCACAACCACCAACAAAACGACAAGATTCAAACTAAAATATAAAAAAATTAAAGACAGTTCATTTCTGTCTACATGTACATATAATTCTTGTCCAGCATGTAAAGACTAGTTTAAGCTCAATTAAAATATAAAATTTTCATAAAATGTGTTACATTTTCTGATTTCAATGCTCACAGAGATTCAATAGAAACTCAGTCTCAATGGAAACAGACTTCTATTGTTAACTTCTAACAATACTGACGTCATAACATCTTAAGCTTCAACCATAACACGGCTATAACACGTTAAGACGTTCTGCTCTGCAGACAACACCACAAAAGAACAATGAAAAAGCAAAATGCACTTTCAATCACAAACTGACAAACTACACTGACTTTCTGCAGATTGTTGTGCACAGTGTTTGTGCTTGTATGTCCAATGCTTTTATAGGTGGTCTCATTCTGAAGAGTCCCAGCACCTCAAGAGCTCGGCTCAGGGGCTTTTCCTTCAGTAAGGTACTTCCACAAATAAACATTTACAGGAATCATGACAGAAGCCTCAGGCCTTGCCTATCCGCTCAGAAATGGTTTTAATAGGAACTCCTCGCCGTATCACCTTGACATGGATGAAGAGGGTGGCAGGAGACAGACTAGAGCCGTCAGCTTTTAGCAGGTGAACATGACGATAACCTGGAGGACAACACAAACACTTGAATAAATATGTCAAAAATCTAGTTAAAACAAGTGTTCAACGTAATAGGTACCACATACGCCACCGATTATTATTATTCTTTTAAAGATGTCAGAACAATTCAAATTTTGTTTAGATTTAGTTTTTCTTTGTCTCAAGTGTTTTTCCATAAAACTTAAGTCAAAGTTTTATGAAAATCAGGATTAATTCAAATGCGATTCATGTCCTTCTTGAACTTCAGATCTAGGCATTTTTTAACCATTACGTGCTCTAGGCCCCTGACTGAGAAGCAGATTTCCATCTCATTGATCTCTCAGTGAACTGGAAACTATTCTTCCTCAGGAATGGTGCAAAATCCCTCTCCACACAGTTGGGTACTTGGATAACAACATTCCAAAAACTACTGAAGCTGTTTTGTAGGCAAAGGTTGATCTGACTCTTCAGTATGTCCTTTTTATGTCCTTGATAAATAATTATTTGTTACAGTAGATAACAAGCATTGTGTTCTGACAACTTTATGTAATAGTTTATTTAAAAACAAGAATTTATATTATTTACACTACCATAGAAAAGCTTGGGGTTGGTAAATTTTGTTATGTTTTTGAAAGAAGTCTCTTATGCTCATCAAGGTTGCAATTATTTGAATAATATTGTGAATATTATTACAATTTAAAAGAATTGTTTTCTGCTTTAATATATTTTAAAATGTACTTTATTCCTATTATGCAAAGCTGAATTTTCAGCATCATTACTCCAGTCTTCAGTGTCACATGATCCTTCAGAAATCATTCTGATATGCTGAATTGCTGCTCAAGTAACATTTCTTATTATTATCAATGTTGAAAACACTGTGACACAGTTTTTCATGATTCTTTAATGAATAAAAAGAAAAAAAACAGCATTATTTGAAATAGAAATCTTTTGTAACATTATAAATGTATTTACAGTCACCGATTTTGATCAATTTAATGCATCCTAATTTCTTTACATAGAAATCTTACTGACCCCAAACTTTCTAACGGCCGTTAGTGTTGTAAAATTTTAAATACATACAGTACTTCCACCACAAATCATGTTTATGTTTAAATATAGTATATGTTTTATAAAAACATCATACGGTGTGAACTGAACACACACACACACATGTTGGTACTGGTGGTTTACGGGGACTCTCCATAGGCGCAATTTTTTTGATACTGTACAAACTGTATTTTCTGTCGCCCTACCCCAACCCAATAGCTAAACCTATCCCTCACACAAATCTTTGTGCATTTTTAGAAACCATTTAGTATGCTTTTTAAATCTTTTGAATTACGGGGACACAGGCAGTGTCCTCATAAACCATCTTCACATTGTAATACCAATGTTATACCAATGTCATTATACAAATTGGGGAAGTCGTGGCCTAATGGTTAGAGAGTTGGACTCATACCCAAAGGTTACGGGTTTGAGTCTCGTACTGGCAGGGATTGTGGGTGGGGTGAGTGATTGTACAGCGCTCTCTCCCACCTTCAATACCACAACTGAGGTACCCTTGAGCACCGAACCCCCAACTGCTCCCCGGGCGCCACAGCAAAAAAATGGCTGCCCACTGCTCCGGGTGTGTGTTCACTGCTGTCAGTGCTGTGTGTGTGCACTTTGGATGGGATAAATGCAGAGCACTAATTCCGAGTATGGGTCACCATTCTTGGCCACATGTCATGTCACTTTCACTTTTCACTTTCAAATTTGTGTCCCCATAAACCCTAACCCTAACTCACCCAAACCAGTGCACGCACACACACACACACACACACACACACACACACACTTCAATTCAAGTTTATTTGTATAGCGCTTTTCAAGTATTCCTTCAAAATTATTTTTCTACACTTTCTTTACCTTGCTATCAGTGTTCAGCATATCACAACCACCAACAAAACGACAAGATTCAAACTAAAATATAAAAAAATTAAAGACAGTTCATTTCTGTCTACATGTACATATAATTCTTGTCCAGCATGTAAAGACTAGTTTAAGCTCAATTAAAATATAAAATTTTCATAAAATGTGTTACATTTTCTGATTTCAATGCTCACAGAGATTCAATAGAAACTCAGTCTCAATGGAAACAGACTTCTATTGTTAACTTCTAACAATACTGACGTCATAACATCTTAAGCTTCAACCATAACACGGCTATAACACGTTAAGACGTTCTGCTCTGCAGACAACACCACAAAAGAACAATGAAAAAGCAAAATGCACTTTCAATCACAAACTGACAAACTACACTGACTTTCTGCAGATTGTTGTGCACAGTGTTTGTGCTTGTATGTCCAATGCTTTTATAGGTGGTCTCATTCTGAAGAGTCCCAGCACCTCAAGAGCTCGGCTCAGGGGCTTTTCCTTCAGTAAGGTACTTCCACAAATAAACATTTACAGGAATCATGACAGAAGCCTCAGGCCTTGCCTATCCGCTCAGAAATGGTTTTAATAGGAACTCCTCGCCGTATCACCTTGACATGGATGAAGAGGGTGGCAGGAGACAGACTAGAGCCGTCAGCTTTTAGCAGGTGAACATGACGATAACCTGGAGGACAACACAAACACTTGAATAAATATGTCAAAAATCTAGTTAAAACAAGTGTTCAACGTAATAGGTACCACATACGCCACCGATTATTATTATTCTTTTAAAGATGTCAGAACAATTCAAATTTTGTTTAGATTTAGTTTTTCTTTGTCTCAAGTGTTTTTCCATAAAACTTAAGTCAAAGTTTTATGAAAATCAGGATTAATTCAAATGCGATTCATGTCCTTCTTGAACTTCAGATCTAGGCATTTTTTAACCATTACGTGCTCTAGGCCCCTGACTGAGAAGCAGATTTCCATCTCATTGATCTCTCAGTGAACTGGAAACTATTCTTCCTCAGGAATGGTGCAAAATCCCTCTCCACACAGTTGGGTACTTGGATAACAACATTCCAAAAACTACTGAAGCTGTTTTGTAGGCAAAGGTTGATCTGACTCTTCAGTATGTCCTTTTTATGTCCTTGATAAATAATTATTTGTTACAGTAGATAACAAGCATTGTGTTCTGACAACTTTATGTAATAGTTTATTTAAAAACAAGAATTTATATTATTTACACTACCATAGAAAAGCTTGGGGTTGGTAAATTTTGTTATGTTTTTGAAAGAAGTCTCTTATGCTCATCAAGGTTGCAATTATTTGAATAATATTGTGAATATTATTACAATTTAAAAGAATTGTTTTCTGCTTTAATATATTTTAAAATGTACTTTATTCCTATTATGCAAAGCTGAATTTTCAGCATCATTACTCCAGTCTTCAGTGTCACATGATCCTTCAGAAATCATTCTGATATGCTGAATTGCTGCTCAAGTAACATTTCTTATTATTATCAATGTTGAAAACACTGTGACACAGTTTTTCATGATTCTTTAATGAATAAAAAGAAAAAAAACAGCATTATTTGAAATAGAAATCTTTTGTAACATTATAAATGTATTTACAGTCACCGATTTTGATCAATTTAATGCATCCTAATTTCTTTACATAGAAATCTTACTGACCCCAAACTTTCTAACGGCCGTTAGTGTTGTAAAATTTTAAATACATACAGTACTTCCACCACAAATCATGTTTATGTTTAAATATAGTATATGTTTTATAAAAACATCATACGGTGTGAACTGAACACACACACACACATGTTGGTACTGGTGGTTTACGGGGACTCTCCATAGGCGCAATTTTTTTGATACTGTACAAACTGTATTTTCTGTCGCCCTACCCCAACCCAATAGCTAAACCTATCCCTCACACAAATCTTTGTGCATTTTTAGAAACCATTTAGTATGCTTTTTAAATCTTTTGAATTACGGGGACACAGGCAGTGTCCTCATAAACCATCTTCACATTGTAATACCAATGTTATACCAATGTCATTATACAAATTGGGGAAGTCGTGGCCTAATGGTTAGAGAGTTGGACTCATACCCAAAGGTTACGGGTTTGAGTCTCGTACTGGCAGGGATTGTGGGTGGGGTGAGTGATTGTACAGCGCTCTCTCCCACCCACAACTGCACAACTGAGGTACCCTTGAGCACCGAACCCCCAACTGCTCCCCGGGCGCCACAGCAAAAAAATGGCTGCCCGGGTGTGTGGGTGTGTGTTCACTGCTGTCAGTGCTGTGTGTGTGCACTTTGGATGGGATAAATGCAGAGCACTAATTCCGAGTATGGGTCACCATTCTTGGCCACATGTCATGTCACTTTCACTTTTCACTTTCAAATTTGTGTCCCCATAAACCCTAACCCTAACTCACCCAAACCAGTGCACGCACACACACACACACACACACACACACACACACTTCAATTCAAGTTTATTTGTATAGCGCTTTTCACAATACAAATCGTTGCAAAGCAACTTTACAGAAAATTAAGTTTCTACAATATTTAGTAGTACACAGAAAAAAGGGGGTTTAAAATGGTACCTTTTGAGGCAAAACAGCCCATCCCCGGAGCAGCACCCCCAAAAGGACACACTTGCACCCCCTCCACCCCCAATAGGTACACATCAGTACCCCAGAGTAGTAATACGTACCCTTAAGGTACTAATATGTACCTACTAGGCGCAAAAAAGGCACAAAAATGTCACTCCAAGGGACACAGACACACACACGCGCGCGCGCGCACACACACACACACACACACACACCTGTTCGTAGGCTGGTGAATGGGAGTGTGAACTGGCCAATGAAATCATTTTTGGATTTGTAGTCGTGATCTTCCACCATGAAACGCACCAAGGCCAGTTCAGGCACCTGCAGCTGAAAGCTCACAGTACAATCCCAGCGGGGGTTGAAACCTGCAGGGGGAGACAAACACACACACACACACACATACTCAATATTCAATCCTGACAGGAACACCGCTCATTTTACTGCTAGAATGGTCACCACACACAAAATAATTGCTCAAA